ATAACCCCTCCCTCCCCCCCCCCGCCACTTCCCCCCCACCTCCAATTTTTCTTTTTTTCACCCTAGAAACTAAATCCAGTCTAGACAGTTCCCTTGCTTCAGACCTGTAATCAAAGACGAAGAGCTGATTAAAGAGAAATCATTCCAAAGTTCAGCATAAATAATTCCTGAGTGCTGATGTAGGCTTTAAAAGGCTTATTTATAGATCGATCGGAGATTAATGAGCTGTGACGACGGGGCAGGATGCTGATGCACAGGGTCTGCAGCGCGCGGGGCTCGCCGGCTCCGGGCTGCCCCAGCAGCCAGGGGCCTGCCAGGAGGGGAGGGCATCGGCAAGAGATGGAGGGACCGCGCGGGTTCGTGGGCATCTCCAGCACCACCCTGCGAGGGAAGTTATTGGCAAGAAGCACCCAGGCCAGTAATGGGGCCAGCTCCGCCCATGCAGGGGATCCTTCAGACCCTGAGTCACTCGCACCCACTGAAGGTGACCTACCAGCATCATCTGGTATGTATTTTGCATGCCAGCATTTTGAGTTGAGTACCAGAAAACTTCTGCAAACAGAGGTGCTCAGCCAAGTGTTTGCACCTACAAGGAGCCAGAGATGAGAACTGTAAAAAACAGCTTCAGCCGTTTGCCCTCCCATGGCTGGTGGACTTGGTGGAAGCACAAGACCACCCAGCCCACCCAAAGGCACATAGGCACCATCCAAGGGGTTGCTCGGGGCTGGGCACAGGGCATCCTCCCAGCTGGTCCTGCAGCCACCTCCAGCCCTCGGGGAGAAGCAGCAGAGCCGTGGCTGAAGGCTGCTCTGCCTCATTTGCAGGACTCTACATCTCAATGCTACGGTACCCTACACATCCATATGGGAGGAAGGCTGCTCCTTTGACATGTCCTCCTCCAGCTGCGTCAGACCCACAGTCTGCTGCCCGGCGAGGAGTATTTTTCTTACACGGCCAGGGGCAAACAGCTCACGGGAGAAAACACCGAACACGTCCCAGCTGCCGCCCTGCGCGGTGGGTTCTGCACAAAAGCCTTTGGAGTTGCCAAGTCCATCCCTGTTTCTGGTGTCTGCTCAGCGGCTGCAGACCACTACCCTGGGACACGGCGGAGGCCAGCGATGCGGGTTAAATAAGCAATACCCTCGTACAAAGAGCATTTGTCGTCCACTCTGCAACGCCTCTGACCACAATTTCCTGACCTCCTCATTGAGTAATTTTGAGTCAAATCTATAGTTTTTCAGCCTCTGGTTTTGAAACACTGTATTTCTTAAATGTCTATCAGTATCTGCAGAAGCAAGCTCCCTGGCTTTTATTAGTAATTATTTCACTGCTGTTGCATTCTTAGGATCTGAAATTAAATTTTTAGTGCATTTTTCAAGGTAATAAAAATAAGCTTAGGCATATATTAGTGAATAAAGATCCATTTGTAAAAATTTCCTGTAATAAAACCCATATGTTTTGTTTTTGTAAAATAAGTGCCAGAGTCATTTTTTTCCTGAACTGAGGAAAGTACATCAGACAAGAAACGGAAAGTTAATTTAAAAGGGGAAAAAAAAAAGGAACGTATGAAGGGGCAACTTTCTGCCACTAGTTATTCCTCAAAAAAAAATCAAAACCTGAGTTAATATAAGTTGTCTTTTCATTCTCAAGACAAAAAAGTGTGTGGGGACGCGTTCAATTGCAACCCCGGTTCTGGAAGAATTAGTCCAGTGCATAAGGGAGGTAGAAAAATGTAAAAAACATAGGCACAACGATGGGAATATACTCTAAATAAACTATTTCTTTGGCTTTGGAATAACCAGCAGTGGAAAATTACCCAATTACCAAACCAATCTTATTTCAGTGCACATTAAAATCAAAGCAGTGTCAGACTGCTTGCCAACTGTCTTATCTCACTTCATCAGCAATGATAAAAAAAATGTACATAAATCCTCTAATTTCTCCCTGTGTGAGCCAATAATTCAGCAAAGAGAAGAAAAACAAAGAAAAAAAAAAAGAGAAGCAGATAAAGAGGTAAGAGTCCTCTTCTGATGCATGAGTTGAAATTCCCGTCCTGCACATCCAGCCCCAGTAGAGCACTCCATCCCCACGGACCAGGAGATGCTGCTCCAGAAGCAAGCCCACAAAGCCTCACCACCAAGGCTCTGCCTCACAGCCGTAACCCACGTGCTTCTGGAAACAGCTATGGAGCACCTCAGCATGGTGCCCGCTGCACCCCAGGGTGCCTGTGCCAGCTCTCCGCCGTGAGCCTGGAGCAGTGCCCGAAAGGCGATGCACCTGGAAATGAGACTAAAGACCAGGTACGTCCACGTTTTTCAAGCTGGCTTTCCTTGCTGTTCCAGTCACCCTGCGTCTCCCGATGCAGGACATGATGAGCCAACGAGTGAAGTTATGCTACAGGCTTGAAGCAACTTTTCTGCCACCTTCACTCGGGGTTGAACTGCTCCGCTCGGAGTCAGCTCTGCAGGAGCTCAGCTTTGCTTCTCTGCAGGAGCTGGTCTCTCACTGACCTCCCTCCCTACTACCTGTTTGAAACAGTGTTCAGAGCAGGAAAAGAAAAGAAATCAAAGCAGTCAAAACCATCTTTCTACCCGCAACACGCATCCAACTTGTGGCATCACTGACCCTTTAAGTAACTAGAGGAGGATAACGGCCAGGTCAAATGTGAAGTAGGCGAGATGGGTCAAGCGTCTCCTATCCCAGGACTGCTCTTCTCAGAGGTGGGAAAAACCTTTTAAGAGGAGGAGGAGAGAAATGACCATGCTTACCCAGCTCCACCATCCCCCCTGGGCTGATGGAGTGGATCCCCTTGCCAACGGGAGGACCAAGCACACAGCTTCAGGAGAGGAATTCTGACTACGGATCCACCCCGTTAGGCTGACGCATGTGCCAAATCCTGACTCTTTCTGGGATTTAAAGGCATCTGATATTCTTAAAACCTCTCATGGACCAGCTCAGTCCCACGCAACAGGCCAGGTTCCAGAGTTCATGCTAAGCACCATGAACTGTGCCCACGTACTCTCTTGGGCGCTGATGCACTGAGCACAGCACAGTATCAGGCCTCTGACACCGTTTTAGGAATTTGATGGCCACAGCATAACGCATCATGTCCTTTATGGCCCAAATGACTCCTGATAGCTTCCATACGCCAGGAACACCACATCCAGTGGGAGTCATCACCAGCAAACATTTGTAATCAGAGCTGTCCCAGGGTCCTCTGGAAAATCTGAGTCAAGGCACATGTCTTTTGTTCTGCACAAGCATTGCTAAAGGGCAAAGTAGGGCTTAGGCTCAAAAATTACTAAGAAGAGAGAAGACAATAACACCCATTGTGAAGATGATGCAAAGCTAAGAATAGTGAAGAAATTCCACGTATAATAGGAACATTATCTCATAGGTTAACAGGCAGGTTAATGCTCTGTGTGCTTTTCTCTCAGTAATGCATCATTGGATTAGACATTTGGGTAAAAGCAGAGAAAATGGGGTTAGAAGAGATCACCCCATCGCCTCAAATGAAATCATGAAATACTGCCAGATGCCAGTTGTTCCACCTCTTCCTGGAGATAAGCGGATGAGTTTTTCTCTGCCAAATACAGCTGCACACTTGGCTTACGTGAGGCTAGTTTCTCATTTGCTTCAGAGCTGAAGAAATCCGTGGCCGGATCGCTTTGCCTTTCAGTGACTGTAACAGCCAAGCTGTCCCACATCCACAGCTGAGTCACGTTTTCTTTGGAGACCTACCAAGCTACTCTGTTATCAGAAAAGGCAATGATGACACCGCATTGCCATGCCATAATCTTGTCCATTTTAAGTCAAAAAAGCCACCATTCAGACAAGATGAGAGCCTGAACTCTAATTACCTAAATTAAGCCTTCCTAGATTTGGTGGTTTTATAGAATTAAGAGGAGGCGGATTGTGTGTTTGTTTTTACAATATCGCCTCTCCTTTTTTTTCCTTTTTTTTTTTTTTTTTTTCTGTAAAGACAACTGGATACAAGGGAAACCACTATACATGCTCACTATATGGTACATCCCGCAATATATCCTCCTGAAGTACAGAATTTTCCTCTTTTAGATGAATTCATGGTAGGATGATGAAAAGCCAAAAGCCGTGCACACTGACGATTCCTATTTTGCCTCCCTCCTCACCATACCAACACCAGACACATGAGATGAATCCCGATGGTCAGCCATCACAGCTAAACCAATGAAGGCAACCAAAATAAAAGCAATATAGCTTACCACAGTTCAAAATCCCAAAGTCTTCTGTTGACTACAGAAACAAAGTTTATTTAATCTGCAGTAAAGAACAGCATGTCCCTATAGATCTAATTACAATTTACATTGGGCCATATCGGAAACACATGAGATGATTTTCTGCTGTTTGTTCTTGACCCTGCAGACTCAGGACCAGACCCGGTGCACAGTTCTGGTCCCCACGGCCAGCACTGTTGAGGGCATCTTTGCACTGACACTGGGTAACGTGGTGGTGCCTGCTAAAGTGGGGGTCAGCAAACGTGTCGGAAAGCCCAGTTTGGCCTACACCAAGGGAAAAGATTCCCCGCTCCTGATCTACAGCCTGGCAGATAGTCAAGCACGCATATCCTTAATTATCTGCTGACTACATCTTTCAAAAGAATGTCCTGAGGCTGCTTACACAGATACTTTATGCAACAGCTACTTGAATATTATTGTTTGCAATTTCAGACGTGGAATTGGCCTGCAAGTCTAATTAACTTTCCTGGTGGAGCCATCAGAGAGTGTTGGCTAAAACTGACACCTTTTTCCCCTTATTTCTGTTTTCCCTTCCAAAGAAAACATGTGTAGATGAATTTTACGTTCTCTCCAATATCCATCAGCTCTGGATTGCCTTTTATTT